CTTTAAACTTTGTTAATTAGATATGTGTATATGTTTGTGTGTCTATTAATCACTTGAGGATATCTTTATTTATTTGAGAGAGAGAGAGAAAGAGAGAGAGAGAGAGAGAGAGAGAGAGAGAGAGAGAAGCATTGATCGGTTGCCTCCCATACTCGCCCCAACTAGGGATAAAACCAGAAACTTAGGTATTTACCTTGGCAGGGAATTGAATGCACATCTTCTGGTGTTTGGACAACACTCCAACCAATTAAGCCACCATGTCAGGGCTTTGTGTATATATTACTTTTGTTTTAGAGATTTTAAGATAAGGAGACATTCTTTTTTAAGGGGGAAAATGAGATTGTTGACTCACCATTGTGTTTTGTACTTAAGTGATTTTTAAAGTTTTTCTACTATTTTGATTGAGATTTCTTGTCACATACTTAGTCTAGCATACCTAGTCTTTTGCATTCTTTAGTAAAAGAGTCTTTACTGTGGGAACCAGTCTATTATTTCAACATAGACCCTGGATAATATCTTTAAAAATCCTATATAATAAAGAGGTAATATGCAAATTAACCCTCACACTCTCACAAGATGGCTGCCTATGACCAGGCCAGCAGGGGGGTTAGTGAGGGATGACCAAATGACTGAAAAAGCAGGCTGCGTGGGGCAACCAAGCCAGCGGGGGGTGGGGCAGTTGGGGGCGATCAGGCCAGCGGGGGGTGGGGGACAGTGAGGGGTGATTAGGCGGCCGGTGCGGGGAGCAGTTAGGGGCTACCAGGCTGGCAGAGGGGGCCAGTTGGGGGCAGTCAGGCAGGCAGGCAGGTGAGTGATTAGGAGCCAGCAGTCCAGGATTGTGAGAGGGATGTCTGACTGCTGGTTTGGGCACGATCCCCGGAATCGGGCCTAAACCGGCAGTCGGACATCCCCCCAAGGGGTCCCGGATTGGAGAGGGTGTAGGCCGGGCTGAGGGGACTCCCCCCCCGCCCCACACACACACACAGTGCGTGAATTTCGTGCACCAGGCCTCTAGTATAACATAAAAGACATAGATTAACCCAAAAGATATGTCTGTAAGGTAATGTAGGTGTGGGTTGGGTAGATGGGAACCTTTGCCCTCATGCAACCCAGATTTTAAACCATAGAAAGTTTGTAGGTGTTTTTGTTTGGTCTATACAGTTTTTGTTACTGTTTTTTTCCTTCATTGTATTAATTTTTAGTTTCTCTCCCTTTTATTTTTGACCTTGCAATACTCTGTTTTCAGGGAACCATGAATGTCTTGTAGAGATACTGCTCTCCAAAATGCAGGCTTAAAGCATAGAAGGCATCTAACTGGATGATGATGATGATGATGATGATGATATTAATATTTCCTGGATTGTAAGTCTTTTTAAGGCAGGTTCTACAGCAGGGGTGGGAAACATCCAGCCTGTGAAATCATTTGGTCTGGCATTAGGGGTGAGTTAAATGTTTGACCAAATATAACAGGCTAATTTTTAAATTGATGCTTTTGTATGGCCTGCAAATCCTATATAATAAAAGCCTAATATGCTAAGTGTCCGGTCATCTGGTCATCTGTTCAACCAATCAAAGCGTAATATGCTAATGATATGCTAAGGCCACTCAACCTCTCTCTGTGACGTGCACTGACCACCAGGGGGCAGATAGTCAACCAGTTGCTATGACGTGCACTGACCACCAGGGGGCAGACGCTCCAACTGGTAGGTTAGCTTGCTGCTGGGGTCTGGCCAGTTGGGACTGAGCTAAGTGGGCTGGACATGCTCTGGAGCCCTCTCGAGGTCCCTTCCCGGCCCCGATTGTGTACTGGTGGGGTCCCTTGGCCTGACCTGTGCCCTCCCAATCCAGGACCCCTTGGGGGATGTCGGAGAGCCAGTTTCTGCTTAATCCCACAGGCCAGGCTGAGGGATCCCAATGGTACACAAATTCGTGCACTGGGCCTCTAATGATGTTATAAATATCCAAATGGCCCTTGGCAGAAAAAGGTTCTTCATGGCTCAACTCTCTTTGTATTAAATTTTGGAAGGGATGCTAAATGCCACATGGTCTAGCAATGCATCCTTTGCTTTACTCTCTGCAGCATGTGCAGCCCATGTTTGAATGCTTTTATTTTGGCAGGAAGCTGCCGTCTGTGGCAGCCCTTTCCGATATTGTACAGTCCTCACTGCTTAGTAGAAAGTTATATTGAGGCATACTTTGTTCCAGGTGCTCTCCATTTGTGGTTGTAGTTCTACCCCTTATGGTTAGCAATATGGCTGAAAATCCAGTTAAATGACTGGACATGGGAAACATTCAGTAAATCTGTATAGGATTGAACTGAATTGTGAAATTTGACTCATTAAGTTTTTGAATTAAGATGTGGAACTAAATATATCCTGGACTAAAGTATGAACATGATTTTCCACCAGATTAAGTTTTGGTCATGCCATTTTTGTGCCTGTGAGTGTGAACATGTAAATGCCATTTATGTAGTTGTGCAGTTGTAGTATGTACATGCAGGTCTTTGGCTCTCAAATTTTAAAAATAGAATTCACATAAAAATATGCAGATTTCTGACTTCTCTTATAAAATTGGAAACTGGCATAACTAGGAAAACTGGATTTCCTCCCTAACAGTTTGCTAAAATTGAGTAGCCACGGCCCTTTTCTGAGGATACATGGACTTTCTAATTAATTAAGCACAGTCCATAGCACATCGTAGAGTGTTGTACTTTGCCTTTCCACTCATTTAACATTATTTGTCAGGGCCTTGTAGGCATTTGAGATGATCTTTTTGTGGATACTCAAACTTAATGTGTCCAAAACTGAGTTCTGATCTTACCTCTAAAATCTGCCCCATTTCAACCTTCCTCACTTCTCTGCTTTTCATTGCTCAGGCCAGAACTTTGGTGTTATCCTTGACTTAATTCTGTTTATCTCAAAATCCGTATCCAGTCTGTCAGGAAATTCTATTGGGTATACCTTCAAAATACCTCTCATATCAGAAACTACTTTTTCCCTCCACCACAACATCCCTGGTCCATGCCACCATCATCTCTCACCTGAATTTTAGTCATAGTCTTCTAATTGATCTCTGCGTCCACCTTTACTCTACTACTGATTTCTCAGTACAATAGCCAGATGATTCTTTTAAAATGAAAGATCATATTATTCCTGTGCTCAAAATCTATAGTGGCTCCTCATTTAGAATAAAAGCTGAAGTCTGTGTCATGTGGCAGCTTGTTACCTCACTGAATTCGTCTTTTACTATTCTCCCCCTGGCTGTACCATACTGTTCCCCTTGCTATACTTTATATGTGCAATGCACACTTCCATTTTTGGGTCTTTTATTCTCATTTTTCCATTTGTGTGGAATTCTTTCCCCAAATAATGGCATGGCTAGGTTCCCTAATTCTTTACTCAAATGTTACTTTTTTAGTGAAGCCTGTACTGGTTATATTTTTAAAAATTGCACCCTTTCTTTTCCTACCAACCTCCCCCTCTTACCCTATGTGTGCTATCCCTGTTCTTCCCCCACCCTCCCTACTATTTAACTGCTTTTAACATATATTATTTATTGCTTTTATTATCATTTGCTTTTTCCACTGGAGTAGAAGTTATATAAGGGAGGAATTTTGGTCTTTTATTTACTGATGTATCCTAGATAAAAGAATAGTTCCTGGCATACAGTAGATGCTTAATAAACATTTGTTGAACAAGTGAATGAATTTGAGTTCCCTCAGGCCCTGGCTTCGTCAGGAAGGACAACTTCAGCTTTGTCAGGAAGGACGTCCGAAATGACATCCAGAAGATGTCCGGTCTAATTAGCATATTACTCTTTTATTATGGATTGGACAATATTATTTTATCAGAAGTTAATATATATTGTTTTATTATATATTAGTACATTTATAGTGCTTATATGCAAAATACTATTATTTAAAAATATGTCTTTATTGATTTTTGAGAGAGAGAGGAAGGGGGAGGAATAGAGAGATAGAAACATCTATGAGAGAGAAACATCAATCAGCTGTTTTCTGCATGCTCCCTACTGGGGATTGAGCCTACAACACAGGCATGTGCCCTGACTGGGAATCGCACTGGTGTCCTCTTGGTTCATGGGTTGATGCTCAGCCACTGAGCAATATTGGCCAGGGGCAAAATACTATTTTAAGCCCTTTATGCGCAATACTGACAACAATCCCGTGAGATAGAAACCATTATAATCCACATGTTAGAGGCAAGTAGACTAAGGCAAACTTGCCCAGAGTCACAGCTAGTAAGGGGAAGAACCAGGATTCACATTTAAGCAGTCATTTAGTAACCTGAGTTTGCTCTTAATTATACCATATTCTCCTTTTTTTTAATTTTTGGAAATAAGCCTTCTATTACACGTATTGCAGATCATTTTGCTCTGTTTGTAATTTTCTTAGATTTGTGGAGGGGTTTTTGTGTGTGTGTGTGCGTGTTTTCTTTTGTTTGCTTGTTTGTTTGTTTTTGCCTTCCAGGTCTTTTCCTTTGAAGTTTTTCTGTTTATTTTTTAGAAGAGTCTTCTTGATTCTAAGATTTAAAAATAAATTTACTGATTTCCCCCATTAGTTTTGATTTGTAGTAGAACCTTAAGATAATGGGACAAGACGTAAACCTTGCACTGTATCGATAGATCATATATTCATTGACAGCAGTATTTTTATTTTGTTACTCCTACTACTTTCTTTTCCTTTTCCAAATCTCACTTATTTGTTTCCCCATTCTTGTTTTTGTTGCTCCTTTTATTGTTCTCTTTTTCACTTTCACCTACCTTTCTTGTAGCTTAGGCCTTGTAAAGGTACTGCTTAATTGACATTAAAAGAAGTTTCCAGTTTCCATTGTAGAGAACTTTGCGGGGGCAGGACTACAGTGGTCACCAAATGTAGCAGCCATAACTATCCTTGACTTCTTGCATCCCAAAGTAATGCTTCATAGATTCCTGATGCTCCATGTCATAATCACTGTTTTTTTAATACTTTGTTTTAGGAACTGCAGCCATGAATGAAGAAAATATAGATGGAACAAATGGATGCAGTAAAGTCCGAACTGGTACGCAGAATGAAGCAGCATTACTTGCTCTGATGGAAAAGACTGGTTACAACATGGTTCAAGAAAATGGGCAAAGGAAATTTGGTGGTCCTCCTCCAGGTGTGGATTTGTTTATGTTAAAAAAAAATGGAAGCTTTAGTATAGTCATTTTCATTATGTGTATATCTTTACAAGTATCCCAAACAGTAGCTCTATTTTTTGTAACTGCTTTTAGACTCTAGCAATAATTTTTTGTTACTCCTCACCCGAGGATATTTTTCCAATGATTTTTTAGAGAGAGTGGAAGGGAGGGGAAGAGACACACAGAGAGAAACAACGATTGGTTGACTCCTGCATGTGCCCTGACCAGGGCTGGGGATAGAGCCTGCAATCAAGGTATGCACCCTTCACCCTTCAGTCCATGGGCTGTTACTCTATCCATTGAGCCAAACTGGCTAGGGCAGCAATAATTTTTAATGTTAGGGAAAAGGTAGATTTTATAATGTTAGGCATGTTTTTCCATTACAGTTTTCAATTCTTTTGGATTAAGAAGCAGTTGAGCCCTAACTGGTTTGGCTCAGTGGATAGAGCGTCAGCCTGTGGACTGAAGGGTCCCAGGTTCGATTCTGGTCAAGGGCATGTACCTTGGTTTCAGGCACATCCCCAGTGGGGAGTGTGCAGGAGGCAGCTGATTGATGTTTCTCTCTCATCGATGTTTCTAACTCTCTATCCCTGTCCCTTCCTCTCTGTCAAAATTCAATAATATATATATATAAAAAGAAGCAGTTGAGAAAGAATAGGTTGGTTTAGAAAGAAGTCAGGATTGAGTCAGTGCAGAAAAGGATACTCTAGAAATTAAAGGGGAGGTCTTTGGGAGGAATTTGAAAGACCAGTGAGTAGAGGGAGGAGTGGTGTCTACACTAGATGCAAATCAGATGCAAACATAATCCTATATAATAAAAGGCTAATATGCAAATTGACTGAACAGCGGAACGACCGGTTGCTATGATGCACACTGACCACCAGGGGGCAGATGCTCAACGCAGGAGCTGCCCCCCTGGTGGTCAGTGCACTCCCACAGGGTGAGTGCCGCTCAGCCAGAGCCGGGCTTACGGCTGGTGAGTGCAGCGGCGGTGGTGGGAACCTCTCCCACCCTCCCCAGCAGCGCTAAGGATATATCATCCATTGGGGAGCGGGCCTAAGCTGTCAGTCGGACATCCCCCGAGGGCTCCCGGACTGTGAGAGGATGCAGGCTGGGCTGATAGACCCCTCCTCCCCCCAGTGAATGAATTTCATGCACTGAGCCTCTAGTTAGATATAATGTTTTGTTTTTCTACTAATAGCCAATGCATTTTCTTTGCTCAAAACCCTCCAATTAACTTTCTATCAGACTTAAAATGAAATCTTGGCCTCTAGTTACATTGATGACCACATTACTTACCACTTTACTCCTCCCTCAAGTACATGTTAGCCATATAGCTTGCGTGTTCTGAGTTCTAATATACAAAGCACTTGCTTTTTCTTCTTCCTGATATATCCTCAGAGCTCATCCCCTCATTTCATTGAGGTGTCTGCTCAAACTTCATGTTATCAGACAAGATTTACCTGACTACAAAAACTAACCCTTCTGTGGCTGTATTTTTATAGTACTTACTACTCAGTCTTCTTTCTGTATTGAATATATGCTTCACGAGGGAAGGTGTTTCTGTTTTTTTCAGTGTTGGATCCCCCAGCGCCTAGAATAGTGCATGATACAAAGAAGGCTCTCTGTGCATTCGTGCAATGAATGAATGAATAGTGAATATAAATATCTTATTAAAATTTATCTGTACTTATTTTTGTCTTTCAGGTTGGGAAGGTCCACCTCCACCTAGAGGCTGTGAAGTTTTTGTAGGAAAAATACCTCGTGATATGTATGAAGATGAGTTAGTCCCTGTATTTGAAAGAGCTGGGAAGATATATGAATTTCGACTTATGATGGAATTTAGTGGTGAAAATCGAGGTTACGCTTTTGTGATGTACACTACAAAAGAAGAAGCCCAGTTAGCCATCAGAATTCTTAATAATTATGAGATTCGACCAGGGAAGTTTATTGGTGTATGTGTAAGCTTGGATAATTGCAGATTATTTATTGGAGCTATTCCCAAGGAAAAGAAGAAAGAAGAAATTTTGGATGAAATGAAGAAAGTTACAGAAGGAGTTGTAGATGTCATTGTTTATCCAAGTGCGACTGATAAGACTAAAAATCGTGGTTTTGCATTTGTTGAATATGAATCTCACAGAGCTGCTGCTATGGCCCGGAGAAAACTAATTCCAGGTAAGCCTATCCTTTTAAAGGTTATTTTTCCATATTCCCTCTATTGTAAATATTAAAAATGACAGTACCTTATAGATCAATATTATGAAAATATATAATGCCTTTAGAGGAATAAGGATTAAGTTAGTAAGTAAATGAAGAAGTTGTTTAGATGAAATAAATAATTATTTATAATTTACTGATTAATGGATGATATATTTATAAGTTAATTGTTGCTTATTAAAAATTCAAAAGACAATGTCTAATTCTTCTAATGATCTTTCTTTGAAGTATATTTGTTCGTTTAGTCTTAAAATTAATTTCACCATAAGTTCTGATTAGGTTTGCCCTAGTAAATTTTCATGTGAGTGGGATACTATAATACTTAACCAAATATATTGATATGTATTTGAGTTTCCGCTTCTTTGGAGAAACAGATTTACTTAACAGTATTTGACTTGTGTTTTAATTGTCTTCAGATTAACTTATTCTTTTTTGTAGGAACATTCCAACTATGGGGCCATACCATTCAAGTAGATTGGGCTGACCCAGAGAAAGAGGTTGATGAGGAAACCATGCAGAGAGTTAAAGTTCTCTATGTTAGAAATTTAATGATCTCAACTGCAGAGGAAACAATTAAAGCAGAATTCAATAAATTCAAACCTGGTGCAGTTGAAAGAGTAAAGAAACTTAGAGATTACGCTTTTGTTCATTTTTTCAACCGAGAAGATGCAGTGGCTGCTATGTCTGTTATGAATGGGAAGTGCATTGATGGAGCAAGTATTGAGGTAACACTGGCAAAACCAGTAAATAAAGAAAATACTTGGAGACAGCATCTTAATGGTCAGATTAGCCCCAATTCTGAAAACTTGATTGTGTTTGCTAACAAAGAAGAGAACCATCCAAAAACTCTAGGCAAGCCACCAGCTCTTCCAGCTCGTCTCAATGGTCAGCATAGCCCAGGCCCCTCTGAAATTGATAGATGCACTTACCCATTTTTTCCTGGAACAAAGCTTACTCCAATTAGTATGTATTCTTTAAAATCAAATCATTTCAATTCTGCAGTAATGCATTTGGATTATTACTGCAACAAAAATAATTGGGCACCACCAGAATATTATTTATATTCAACAACAAGTCAAGATGGCAAAGTACTCTTGGTATATAAAATCGTTATTCCTGCTATTGCAAATGGATCCCAGAGTTACTTCATGCCAGACAAACTCTGTACTACGTTAGAAGATGCAAAGGAACTGGCAGCCCAGTTTACATTACTTCATTTGGGTAAGTTTAAAAATACTTTAAATAATATTGTAGAATATGGAATATTATAGATTATTTATAAATTTATTTATTTTGAATTCAACATTAGGGGTGAGTATTTAACATAAATTTTACCTCAGTTTTATGAATTTGTGGTAAATTTCATTGAGACTTTCCTCCTATAGAGACTTCTATGTTTAGCTTATTTATTTTTTAAAATATGTTTTTATTGATTTTAGAGAGAGAGGAAGTGAGAGGGAGAGAGAGAAACATTGGTGTGAGAGAGAAACATCCATTGGTTGTCTTCTGCACACCCCTTACCGAGAATTAAGCCAGCAACCCTGGCATGTGCCCTGACCGGGAATGGAAATGGAGACTTGTTGGTGCATGGGAGGATGCTCAACCAACTGAGTGAGCCACACCGGCCAGGGCTATTTAGTTTTTTAAAACATTACGTATTTACTTTAGAGTTTATGATTCTGTTTCATTAGTTTGTTTTGCAATGACTGATCCTAATTTGCAATAATTTCTATATAAGTTACAGGGTTTGTTACTTAAACCACTTTCTTTGGTAAAGCCTACCCAGTAATCTTTTTTGAGGGTAGGGGTAGGAAGTTGGTAAAATCAGGCATTTCAGATGGGTCATTTGTAGACACAGCCTTATGCTCACCAATCTGGAAATTACTCATGAAAGACAAAAAGCATTAAAAGATGTTTATGACCATTAATTTCAGGCTTTGAAAAAAGTAACTTTCTCTAAAACATTTGAGGGATAGTTAAGAAAGGCTTTGGATCCTTTTGTAGTTCATAAGCGTGATGATTGGGTGTTCACACTCTTATGTGGGATGTGCCTCCCACAAACCTTGTTACATCTTCAGCACACTTTCCCTCTGACATAAAAAAAAGAAAGACTTTGGGCCATATGCTAACTAAATATTTGGCATTGTGAAGGAAGAGATGTAATACTGCTCTGGTGTTTTCCTACTTTCTGTTTTTTGGTGTTTTGTTAGCTACCCCCTTCCCACCAGTTTGTTTCATTTTTCAAATTGCAGCTATATATTTCAGTTGGTGATGACTTTGTGCCCCAAATAATATTTATTAGAAGAATAGTAGTTTCTTGAAAATCAACTATAAAAAGGAAAGATTACAAACTAAGGATTATAATTGTGTTTTTTTATTGCAGTAGTCAAACTCGCTAAGCTTAAAATTGATTTGTTATATGATTGCAGAATTGTACTGAAGCTTATATCCATTTAAAATTGATATCCTTAAATTTGTTAAGATAATAAAAGAAAAACATTACCAAAAGAGAAAGTAATTTTTACATGTTATTTAGATTTGCTTATCCATTATAGCCACTCCCATGGTATTATGAATATTTTTAGGAGATTCTGATTTGGAGATCTGGTCATAACTTTAGGACTGAAGGTAGAGTTCCCTTCAAGGAAACTTTTCAGTACTGTCCTTAGTTATTATTTTGGAAATATTTGGTAATTTTAGTCATTTAAGTTAATAAATTATTAGGTATGGTTTCCATCAATGTACATAATAGAAACCTTCCATTTTTCTTTTAATAAAGACAAAGTTAAATATAAAATTAGTTGGGTAGCAAATAATTCAAATTAGGGTTTTTAGAGAAAAATGGATCAAATTATTCTTTTGGAGTAAATATAGATAATTAGTTGCTGAGCAAGATTTTCCCAGGATACTTGTATCTGATCCAACATGGTAATGCTGAAATATAATTTATTTCTATCCTCACTTATTTCCCTTACAAATTTAACTTAAATATGATTCTTAAAACATAGTCTCCTTAGTTTATTTTATGTTAGATTTTTCTGTTTAGACATGGTTTCTCCATCTGGTTCTCCCATAAAGAAGATCAGATGTTAAATGAAACCGGAGGTTTTTCATCAGCTTTTAATTTAATATTAAAATGATTTTTTTTTTTTTACTTGAGTACTAGGGCCATAGTTAACTTGTTATAGCTTTTAGTTCCCAAAGAAAACCCCTGTTCAGGTACAGTATTCCCTGCTTGATTATGTTAATCAGGAATAAAATTAACTTCAATAAATGAAATCCTTAGAGGGCACAGGCAGTTTGCTTTATAGTCATCTATTTCAGATTTTATCAACTTCATATTAAAGCTTCTTATAATAAAAACTGGAACAATTTGTGTTTTATATATTTTTTCAGTTTCTATTCACCATCAGAAAAAAGAGCTAAGCCAAATATAAGCCAAAATTTTCAATTAAACTCTACGGGCTTGCTTGGATGCAGTATACAAGGCCTGAGGCCTTGTCTGCAGACAGTAACAGAAAAATCCTTATTGTAATTGTCTAGAAATTTGAGTGAAGGTTGAGTTAGAGGCAACTGAGGAGAAGGAGAGAGGGAATTCAGGATGTGGAAGAGTCAGAGATCAGGGGTCTAGGAATTTATGATCGAAAAACAAATGTCAGCCTTTCAGTTGTCATTTAAGTCATGTCAGGTGCTGTAGACAGCCAGGAGATTATGTGATGCCACATGGCAGGTTAAGGATAGAGTTAATGTCATTGTGGTGATGATCTGATGTGATTTTACCTTCTATTAATTGAGTATCTGGACTTTTAATTGGATGGTTCAGGGTTGAGATCATGGTGGTAGTGTTGTGTTCTTAGAGGGGAAGGGGTGTAGTGTTTGTTACTGCTATCTTGCTAAATATTTACATGTTTGAAGCCTTAGATTTTTCTAAGATCTTGAGAGGTTATTGATTTGTTGTGGAGTCCCTCAAATAGAGTTCATTAAGTATTAAATAACCTTTGGCTCTATTTTATTAAATAATTTGAATATAATTTTCTAGTTAGTGAATTTAACTATTATTTTAAGATGATCTCTTTGAGTGTAGTAATTACTTTAATATACTATTAATTCTTTCAACTTGATGCTATTTTTTTTAGTTTGATGCTATTTTGAACATTATTATTTAATCTTACCTTGATCTTTGTTAATTTAGTTTTTTATTTCAGAGCTCTTTAAGACTATACTTTTAATTTCCACTTTGTTTTGGCATTACCATGTTCATTTTTCAAGTTTGAAAAAAAAGTAGACTTTATTTAGTTAAATTAAGACTCTCATTAGTGTTATGAGGAAAATAGAAGTTTTTTAAAGGGGCACTAGGCATCTAAATGAGTACTAGAAATCTGAGAGTTTACTTTTAGTGACCATTTAGTGCTCTTACCAGAATCCCAGAAACACTTGTTATATAGTCCCTTAACATTAATTTTTAAAATATTTTGGGGTTTTTTTTTGTTCCCATTTAAAGTGAGCTCTATTTTAAGCAAAATGCCCTTAAATAGGAGGAAAGCTGGAATTAATGCCAAAATTGAACCCTCATTTTTCTTTTACTTCAAAGTTAGAGACTGTCTTCATCCTCATAATGTCAGAGAATAACCTCCCTAACCTCAACCCATAGGATAAGAAGTTGTGTTACCTGGTTATATTTAGGAACTTGTAATAAGTGGGATACTCATTGGATTTAATGGGTGGAATACAGAGTTGGGGCATAGGAGATAGATAGCTCTATACCAAATATTTGATGTATGGAGACTTCTTGGGTCATTTAATATCATCTTTTTAAATAAGACTTCTGTTTCAAAATACTGTATCTTTAATAATAGATCAGACTATGAGTGTGAATAATTCTGCTATTCTTAAAATTTTGCCTCTGTTTTGAATTGGGGCCTTCCATTATTGCCACTGCTTTCTCCTGGAGGATTATTCATCATCTAGGACTGGAATAAGCAAAATCAAGGAGGTAAAGAAAAGCTCTGGAGAGTTATAATTTTGAAGAAGAAAGTCTTGGAGAATACTTACTGGAAGGAGGGAGGTCACCTCAGTGTGTATTGCTAATTCATCTTGAGAGATATTTATTAACAACTCATTCAGGCAAGGCATTTATTTTCTTGTTTCTATGTTTGTAATACTGATGAAGTAGGTTTTTTTGTTGTTGTTGTTTTGTTTTTTTACTTGGATGACCACCTAAAGTTTTAAGACAGGGATGAAGAGCCTCTTGTTACAAACCAGCTTATGCCATTGATTTAATTTAATCTGAGTATTCTATTGCTTTGGCCATGACTGATGAAGTTTAATTAAAGAACAAATCTTTTTTGAATGCCTTTCCTGTGCTAAGTGTACTTCCTAAGCAATCTGTAGCTAAAGATAAATAAAACATTGTTTTTGCTCTTACGGAGTCACAGTCTACTGAGGAAGGCAAGCATAGGGTATTTTGGGAGTACAAAGAAAGGGCACACCTCACACCTGATCTTTGTTGTAAATGGTAAGAAGAGTTTATGGTCAGAGAGGGACACCACATAAGCGAACATTTAGAAAAACAGCATGGTGGTGGGTTAATGGCAGAGTTCTATATAATGTTTGTTTTGGTAATTTTAGTTAGATTTTAATAATTGGAAATTGAAAGTAAGTAGACTTTAGTTAATTGAAATTTCAGCAGTTCTGCTTTTTAAAACTTTGCAAGTACTGTATTTTTTTTATTACAACTATGTTGATATTACTTGCTTTTCCTCTGAGCAAGTACTTTTTTTTTTCTAGATTATTCTGGTTTGTGTGGACCATTTTATGTGTGAATATTCATCTTTTTAATATTTTCCTTTTTCAATATTCATTTTATGGCTGGCGTGCATATTGCTTCTCATATTTGACTTTGTAATTACATACATTATTAGAATCTTTACTTTTTTCTGGACAGTGAGTGGTAAAGTATTTACCAAGTATGATAATCACTATTTGTTCTATTTTTTAATATTTAAATTCGATTTTGATTTGTTATCACTTATAACTTGGTTGAAAGTTACAAAATAGAAGACAGCAGGATGAAGGAATAGTATTCTGAGAAGTTTTAATGTGAAAAATAAGGTGCTTTTTTCTTATGAGCTGTCATTATTTCCAGATTGATGGGCAGAAATACAAAAAATCAAATTTTGATTTTAGAAATTTGCCAATAAATTGCTTTGAAACAAAGAGAA